ACCAATCACTTTCAAGGCTGCATAAGACAAAGACAAATAACGGTGGCCGCTCGGACGAATGTCGCCAGACATGACTTCGGACCCGAATAGGGCACGGAATGCACTCTTTCGATTCAAATCTCTTCCTACTTATTCTTCCAATCCTTCTGTACAGAATAAACTCTTCCTACCACTCTGGCCTTCGCATAACTTATACCTTCTCCGAATGAACCGGGCCCGAAAGATAGTAGCCGTTAGGGTCAACTCTATCAACCTTAACACTCCTCAATAGGCCATAGAGAGGAGCTAGATCCCACTTATATGAGGGTTGCTGGTTCCGTGCCTGTGTTTGCTGATTTAGGACGCGTTCTTGTGTACGGTCTATGTGTTAGTAAGGAGAGAAACGGGTTCATTACATTCTGTCGAACGAGAAGAACGAGATCCTATTTTCTGATTTCGGCATAAATTACAACAATGGGTCCCAGTTATTTTTCGCAAGTATGTGCGCCTTTTTCTGTTCGTTTTCGGTACACACCTTTACTTCATACTTACACGTTTTAGCTTGATTTGTATGGCTATAGTAACCTTAAAAGTTTTTGATCAAGATAGTTCAGAGTACTTTGAGTCAACCATGTACTTGGGCATCGTAGCTCATGAGACCGACCAAAATCCTCCAATTAGTCTTTCCTCTCACCTGGGTTAAATTGCAAGGTTGATGAGCATAGAACAGCATATAAAAGTAACTCGGTATCCGCGTCGTTCCGGTTTTATAAAGAGAGCGCTCTCTTTCATCCAAAACTTAGGCAAAACAATTAAGTTTTCGTAGTAATGACTGCTGGAGAATATATTCAACTGCCAATTGGTAGCGTTTCCGATTACTGCCATCAGAATCCTATTGAACTAGATGTTTTTAGACCTTTTTAGATCGGTTTTCTTGCGTTGGCTTACTTCTCGCCTTTAGTATTAGTGAAAACAGAGCCAATAGCAGATTTGGACAAGCGCACGTTTGTATACTGTGGGAGGATTAGCAAAATGTAAATAGTCCGTCAGTCGACGAGGGGCAGGCTGATTGATGATAGCCGCAAAAGGGGCAAAAGTCACACGAGCCTACCGGTGATCAAACTCACTGTCAGTCAGCAGCAGACAGGCAGGTCAAAGTTCGTGCGTCGAGCACGGATATAATACCACGCATGCGGCAAGGCTGAAACAGTCCCGGCAAACAGGAACAATCAGGCAGTTACTCTGAAGATGGAACCAGGCGAGTGTCCGAAACGTCAGTCTCAAAATAAAACGGTCCATGCCCTCGTACCTTCTTCTTCCTCTTCTTCGTGGGATGGTGAAAAGGATAAGATATCTGGACCTCACATATTCACGCATAATGTAAATATTACACGTACAGGCAGTAAGATGGTGTACATTTATGCGGCGATAAGAGACGAAACGCAAAAAAACAGGGAGTTAGGGAAACGAAGGCGTGTTGTTATCCCAAGTAAAACAAATTGAATATAGGCTAAATAGTAGTACTGGTGGATGTAAAATGCTAAGGTAAAAGACACCAATGGTGTGGGGGATTTGGAATTTCCTTCTGTAAATCTAACCACAA